GGCGGGCTCGGGGGGGCAGCGCGACCCCCTCTGAGCATCGTGCGGAGCCAAATCCTTTGCCTCTTCCCGTTCCCTTCGTGCTGATCCTGACCAGCATCACAACAGTCAGGACAGAGTCAGCTCCAGGGGTCCCCGACCTGCCCAGAGTCCCACAGCCTGGTCTGCCCTGGGGGGTCACATCGCTCTGGGTCCTTGCGGCGCGATGGGCACAGCAGAAACGCAGGAATCTACAGAGCCCAGCTCCAGAGCCCACTCCCATGTGCTGGGTTCCAGCTCAGCAGAGCTCAGACAGAGGGTCTGGGGGGGGACAAAGCTGCTCCTGTCTCCTCCCAGAGCCCTGTGTGCTCCTCACACAGTGACCCCAATATCTGTTCTGATCACTGCCAAGAGCTGCTGTGGCTGGACCCATCCCACAGCCTTCCTGGAGGAGAATGTCTCTCTTCCATGGATGCATCTGCTCAGCTGCTGGGGAGCAGTGAGTGCCTCTGTTGCTCACATCCCTGTGGTGTCTGTGGCAGGATAAATGCTCCAGTGGTTTATTGCAAATACCCCTCAGAGGGTTTAGAACACAGGGCCCAGAATTACACCAACGCAGAGGCACCAGATAAGTGAGAACTCAGGCAGATGACAGTGTGTTGGCCTTGGAGCTGCTATCTGCTCCAGCACGAGCTGACCCTTCAGCTGCTGCACATCACAGCAGCGTTGGCTTCCTCCAGGCTGCGCCGATGCATGTCAGCCAAGGAGTTGGCCCAAATTCAGGCAAGTCATTTCCAAAAACCCAATGTCTCACTGTCATGAAAATGTCACTGTTTATTTCCCAGCTCGCTGCAGTGCTGGGAGGTCGAGCCTGCCCGTAACCCTGCTCTGTGGAAAAGGGCAGGAGAATTTCCCAGCACCAGGAAAAATGAGCTGCTCTGACATTCCTGCCTGTGGATGCTACTTGGTCCTTGAGGGAAGCAGGTTTCCAGCAGGACTCAGTGATTTGATACACTCTGATTTGCAAAGCTGCCTCCTGGTGCTGGTCAGGGGGTGAGTCCCCCCTGCCTGTCCCAGACCTCCTCTCCCATGGCACTGGGCGGGTCAGGGCTGAGTTCCCGATGGTGGGAGCTCAGCTTTGTTCCATGACCCACCTCAGCTTGGCCACCCTGAGCACAAGGGTCCCCCATGGCCAGTAGAAACCTCAGCCAGAGCATTGGGGTCCTCCAAAGTAGCTAGTGGATGCCAGGTAAAGGGGCAGCAGTTCCATACAGAGTACAGCTCCTGTCCTGCTGCTCCATCCCAGCCTGGCATAGCTCCCTGTGAGCAGCCAGTGCCCCACGGAGAGACTCAGAGGAGCATCTCATCCCACCAGAGCTGGAAACCTTTAACTGAGACTCCTGACACGTTGGTACATAGCAAAACCAGTATAAATATGAGCTGTTGCCACAGTGCAGCCCAGAAGCAGGAGGAGGGGAGCAGAAAATCGGCAGTGTTGGGCACCACGGGGGGCTGTGCCTAGGGGCCGGGCAGGAGCTGGCGGAGCAGGTCGATGACGAGGGACGCTGGCTGCACCGTGTCGTACTCTGCGAACAGGTGACAGAGGTTCTCCGAGTCTGTCTGGCTCTTAGCCACGAACCCAAAGATTCTTTGAGAAAGGAGAGAGGCTGATTCAGTTTGCATCCAGGAATCTGAAGGAATACGCTGAAACCAGCCCCAGCCACAAAGCCAAACCCCCGTTCCAGCAATTCCACCTTGGCCCTCTCCCCAATCACGTTTCCTTGGAAGCCAAGTGGCTGGGAGGAGTGTTTCTGGCAAGGCTTCCCCAGCTGTGAAAAGATTCTTGAGCACAAGGTAGAGCCAGATATAAACTCACTTCCTGAGCCCAGCGCGAGTCCCTGGGAAGGCTGTAGGATTTGGATGGGGGTTTCTACACGAGGGGATGTGGAGGATGAGGCTCAGCCAAACCTCTTGCCCAAACCTACAGAGCAAACCTCCTCTAAAGCTTCACTCACCAGTCCTACACCCCATCCTGCCACCATGGTAACTTCTATTGCAATCCCTTCCTCATTTTTAGCTGATTCTTTGCTGCTCTGCAATGCAGCTGCTTCCCAAAGCAGCAGCATCCCCCCTTGGATTCCAGCCCCCCTGCTCCATGTGGGAGGTCCCTGCACAGGTCTTACCTGGAGGACTTGCAGTACTTCTGCCACCTGAGGGAAGAACAGAATTGGAGTTGCTCAGAGGCTGATGTTTAACTCATTCCATCAGCTGCAAAGCCAAGGGTTATGTTTAGATCCACCCCAGCATGGTATGCCTGGGGCAGCGTTTTGGAATTTGGGATTGGAAGTGGTGCAGAGGTGCTGGGAACAGAGCAGGCAGCTCTGATCAGCACAGCCAGCCCAAACTCACTTTCTGTTCTCAGGGTCCATCCCGCAGAACCTGACTGCAGCCAAGGGGTAGTGTCGCCGGAAAAACACCCTGGAAGAGGAGAGGGAGGTGTTAGGGGAGGGAAGGGCCTGGGCAGGATCAGGAATTTGCAAATCCAAGGCTTGTTGTGGCTGCTGGGGAATGGGGGTCCCAAATGGCAACCCAAAATCCCAACCCTGGGTGCAGCTGGTTCCTGCCTCCCACACTGAGATGCTGCCACATGCAGCAGCATCTGTGCTGTAACAAGGGATCCAATCCATGCCTGGAATGTTACATGGGTTTGGCCAAGCAGGGAAGTTTTTCCTGAGGCTGGGAGGCAAGGAGGGAGCTGGGTGGGCACAGCCTCTCCCTGAGCCCCCCTTGGCCACCCCTTGGCCCATCCCCTGGCTCTTACTTCCTCTGGATGTCCGTCAGCGTGACACCCTGCTCCGTCACCTTGAAGTGCACCAGGGTGGGTGTGGGCAGTGTCTCCAGCTCAAAGGTGCAGGAGATGGCCTTGAGGATGGCTGGGGCTCCTGTCAGCGTCTCCACGTTCACTGAGTTCAGGTACAGGACATTGCACACTGCAGGGACAGCACAGAGTGTGGTTCAGCATGGATGCAGCACTGAGCACAGCGTGGCCAGAGCCAGGGCTGGGTCCAGGGACCAACCATCCTGCAGAACCCTCACACAGACCCAGGTCAGCATTGTTTTGGGTCCCAGGGTCCAACCATCCTGCAGAACCCTCACACAGACCCAGGTCAGCTTTGTTTTGGGTCCCAGGGACCAACCATCCTGCAGAACCCTCACACAGACTCAGGTCAGCTTTGTTTTGGTTCCAGGGACCAACCATCCTGCAGAACCCTCACACAGACCCAGGTCAGCTTTGTTTTGATGAAAATGAAAAGATTTGGTGACTCAGAAATTCTCCACCAATTTTTGTTTGGTTTAATTCTTCACACTAATTGTTGTAAAAGTCAAAGTATTTAATTTCCCATTTCTAAATGTCACATTTGGTGGTGGGTTTTTTTCTGTTTATTACATATTTCCTTTAATGAAAAGCAGAAATAGCCCAAGCCAATGAAGGGCTGAAGGCCAACCTAAAACATGACATTTCAGGCTGATTGAGCTGTTTAAAAGGCTGTTCTGGGTCAAACTAAACTTTCCAGCCTGCCAAGTGATTTTTCAGAGTTTCCAGCAAAACAGAGCAGTTCCTGTCTCCAGGCCTGCGCCCTGACCCAGCCCTGTGCTCCCCTGCTCTCTGCTCTCACCTGGAGCATACCCAGCCCAGGGTTTACAGACCCTTCCCCATCCTGCTCTGCAGATCCCACGTGTCCCCTACAAGGTCCCTCAGCAATTTAAGCAGCCCCTGCCTGTCCCATCCCTCTCCTAAAGCTTCACATGTTCAGTCCCCATCAAAGCCATTAGGAGAGGCTTAAAAATCAGGGGCTGTTTAAAACTGTGGGAATTGGGGGTCTTTTATCAGCCTTGTGAGCTCAAGAACTGTGTTTTCAAGCATCTTGAGGACCCAAAGTCTCCTTTCCCTAAAAACATCAGGTTCCCTTGCAGCCCATGGGTTGGGGATGTGCAGGAATCCTGTGGGTATCTCCAGCTGGAGGAGAAGCTGGAGGGGAATGTCACACCAGTCCTGACTAGTGCATGGGAGTGATCTGCTGCTGTCACAGCATGCCCAGGGCTCCAGCTCTTGCCAGCCAGGCTGTCCCTGGTGCCAACAGTTGGCTCCTGTCCTCACCTGCAGCTCTCTTGGCCAGGGCCAGTGCGGATTCCAGAGCGCAGTCAGGGCTGTCTTCTCCCTCAGTGAGATCTGCACAAAGGACAAGCAGGAGCAGTGATGCCACAGGCTGCTCTGGTCACACTTTGGCCATTCCTTATCTCACAAGAGGCTCAAAGGACCGGGACAGCTCTAATTGCAGGGCTTAGAGCAGTAATTAACTTAATTGTCCTCCATCTCCCCCTCCTGGCTCTGTTCATCTCTAATCTCCCACTCCTTCCCTCACCCACCCTTATCCCTGGCAGAAGGGAGTCACTACCATCCTGTGTGGTCAGTTCTGCAGGTCCCTGCTCCCTCCCAGGACATCTCCAGCACCCTCCCCACATCAGGACCTTCCCTACCTCCCCAGAGTGGCAGGAGGCATCACTCAGAGCATCCCTCATGTTCCGTCACCTACCTCGGGTGGGGATGTTGAGCTTGCAGGGCAGTGCCAGGGCAGTCATGGCATGTTGGTAGACAAAGGCAGAGAGGCTCCCTGAAACACAGAACCATGAGTTGTGGAGGGGCTGGTGCCTGCAACCTCCCATCCATGTGCCTCCACCACACAACAGTGTCCCAGGGAGTTGGTGTTCCTGTTTTGGAGACCACAACCACAGCCTCACTGGCAGGGAAGTGTGGGCAGGACCAGGTGCTGCTGGGTGTGCTGCTTCCAAGGGTGTTTGGAAACAGCTCCTAGTGCTGCCAGGGCTGCTGCAGGGGGTGGCACTGCCCTTACCGAAATACAGCTCCTCGCTGGCTCCTTTCAGGTGCACTCCTTTGGTGGAGGACTCGATGAGGAAGTGCCGGACGAGGTCAGAGCTCTCATCGCCTGCAAGAGGGACCAAACCCAGCATCAGCACTAGCTCTGGGCTGTTGTTTCACCCTTGCTCTCCCCTGCCCACCCTTGCCTGCCCCTGTCCTCCCCTGCCCATCCCAGGGCAACATCCCAGGGCATCACTGAAGCTTCTCTGCATGACAAGTGCAGTGTCAGGTCCTGTGATGTGTGGTATGATGACCCATAGTCCCCACTGCCTCCTCTCCTGTCACACAACCAGAGCACTGTAACTTCTCTTAGTCTGACTGGTTTCAGGGAACCCCCTGAAGCAATCTCCCCTTTCCGAGCGTCCCCGTACCTGTGCGACCGTCAGACGGAGAGCCAGGAACCTTCATGGCCAGCCCGAAGCAGCCGCGGTACGACGTGCTGTCCCGCACAAGGAACGTGCCTGGCTCCCTGTCCCGCAGCAGCTGGATGGCTGTCAGAGCACAGACAGGGGCTCAGCCAAGCACAACAGGTGGGACCTCCCCACGCTCTGCTCCACTGCTCTACCGGGAGTCATTCCCTGGCAGCAGTGGGAAAGACTCTGGAGGATGTGCATGTCCCTTAGCAGGCACCAAGTGCAGTGTCCCTGCAGGGCCCTGGCTCAGTCCCACCTGTCCCTGTGGTCCCCAGGACACTCATCCCCTGCCCAGACCAGGCTATGTGGCAGCACAGAGGCAGGAGAAGCTTTGCTGGCGTTGGCAGAGACAGAAGTACCGTGGCACAGCCCTTGTTTGTGAGACATCCCCCTTGACCTCTGAAAAGGTCTCTCCATGCCCATCAGCCCCAGTAGGCTTTGAATCCTGCTCACTGAGTCCCCACAGGTGAACTCTCTCCCAGGGCACAGGCAGCAGTGCGAGGTGGGGTCACCCTGCAGAGCCCCTCGCTGCCTTACCTTGGTCCCGGCTGATGCTTGGCTTGAACCAGTATTTGGATGTGTCCATCACGAACTTCATGGTGGGTTGCCCAGCCCTGAGGGGACCTGCAAGAGACCCCAAGGTGTCAAGGCCAGCAGGGACCTGAAGGACCTCTGCAGGTGACAGATCCCAGCAAAGACATTTCTCTTGCAGGCTGGCAAGAGCTGAAGGTTTTTTCAACCCTTTTGAATCCTCTCCTCCCTACTCCTCAGAATAGCTCATTCTCCATGTAATTATCTCTCTTGGCAGGCAGCAGTGGAGCACAGAGAGCACATGGAATCCCCTGGCAGTGCCAGCCCACCCAGCCCTGCACAATCCACTGGACCATGGGATTTACACCAGCCAAGGATCTGACCCACACACTCTCCTGCTATTCCCACAAGGATCCCAATTAAAACCCTCTGCCCTGAGAGCTGCCTCTGCTCATCTCCTCCAGAGAACAATAGCCCCAGTGTTTGCCCTTGAATGAAGGACCTTGTGAACTCTGGTACCTTTTGGTGCCTTCCAGAGCAAACAGGAACCCCAATCCCTCCTCCCCACCAGGGCTGGGCCCACAAACAAGCAGGACAGGACAGAAGGATGGTTCCCATTTTCAGGAACTGTAAGTAGGTGCATCTGCATCTCCTTGAGGGAGCAGAACAT